AGCGCTGCCATAGCTGTAGCCTAGCATGTGTGGTGTGTGAAGTATGATACTGAGTGTTGCGTGTGGGACATCCAGGGTGATCCAGAGTGCGAACAGTGAGTTGTGTGGGCGCCCAGTCGCCATAGCCAGTTGAAGAGAACTCATATCTGGTTACGATATCTTGAGTATTGTGTGGGCGCATGTCGCCAGTTGCTGTTTCGCTGTTTGCATACATGACAAGTTGAATAATCAGAAGTGTGATTTCACACGATTCTTCTGTATCATTCTCAATGGGATGGTTACTCGGTTCCATGTGCTATCTGCTTTGGCTTTGAATACTTGGACTTCAGTGTGATTTTGCATTCTGGATTTCTGTGCTTCGTCCATACTCATGTTCCTTGCAGCTGTCCAACGGTGGGAGAATAAAGTGAGAGTGACATTGGAGCATCTATCAAAAATACTGTGGCCACAGATCAACACGGTGCGCATCGGAAGAGTCAGGAGCTTGCAGTGGCTAATCGCCCACGTGGCCCTTCCGGTAAACGACTGGCTAAACGAACACACGAGCCAAGCACAGAGGGATCCCGCCAACGCACAGTGTGTAGTCTGTCAAGAGAGGGGCTCAGAAACAATGCTTCATTGTCTTATAACGTGCCCTGAGGCAGCAACCGTATGGGAGAAGGCCAAGTCTCTTTGGGGACAAATCACGTCGTCGCCATGCCTGGAGAGCAAGGCAACTATTCTCCTAGGCCACGACTTGCCAAAGAATTGGCGGCCATTCGAGAAGACCTTATTCCAGGTAATAAGACAGCATATGGGCAATTTGGAAGAGATGCTGTCAGATTACTATTAAGAAGCGACCAATGCATCAGCAAGAGGCATGTGGGATCCTCCACAATTTATTGGAAACAGATCTCTGGGCACAGTGGAAACGAGTGCAGAGACAGATCCACCAATGCCCGGATCAAGCGCAAGAGTTAAAGGCCCGATTCACTCAAAGGGTGCTCGGCCAGGAAAAGGTGGCAGCTATACGGGACGTCAGACTACAGTTTACCTGGAGAGGGGTGGGACACTAACAACGCATATTCCAAGTATTAAAAGTAGGTAAAGTTTAGGTAGGTAAAGTTTAAAAGTTATTTAAACAGGAATACATAGAGACTTAAAATATAGGGCGTAGTCAGACAGAGGGGTAGAATGGCAGGGATAGGGAAATTAGATAGCGAGAACATAGACACAGGGTTTAGGCTTTAAATGGAGAAATCTCCGGGTTCCACCTGGGTCCCGTCAAAAGCATAACACTGGGTAATGCTCCCAGATCCGGTCTTTATGTGGGGCGGCCGGCCCCTTCTTTCTCATGCAAAGAATGAATTAAAAAAAAGGAAAAAAAAGTCACTAAGAATGGATCAAGGATTAAGAACTCATGGTGCAGTCCCTGAAAGCACTTCTTTGAAGTTCTTTCCTTTATAATGCCAAAAAGGTGCAACTTACCAGAGTACGATGCGGTAGAGCTTTGGATACAGTTCATCACACATGGTTCTGGTCTACATGTAAGCTTTAGAAGCAATCTGAGTGTGACTGCAGGTTATTTGCGTATATTTCAGAATGTTTTCTTACTTTCATGACATCTTCTTTCCTAACATTCTCATCTTCCCATAATGCTATCGAGCCCTGCCAATTTCCACTGAATGGTTGACCTCACAAACAACATGGTGTCTGTCACACACCCTTATGTCAGACCTCTGATTTCTTGTTTTACTAGTCTGCAGAACAGCAGGTGGAGAAAGCAATCGGTTGATCTAGTACCACTACAACAGGGCATATATAGTTAAAAATACAAGGAAACAGCAGTCCAGAAAGCCAGCTTCTGCCCACCATCCACCATACTCTGCGCTTGGATGATCTGGAGCGAGTCGATGAACAAAATAGAGTAGGCAATCATGAATTGTCATGTGTGTAAGTCAGCCTGAGAAGTCAATGAGGTCCCATGGCTCTAAGGGAATATTGTAAGCACCCAAGATTCCAAAGAGCTGTTGCAGCTGCCTCTGCAGCACGAGCTGTTCCTGACTCCATCAGCTGCTGTAGCTGCTCTATTGCTCCTTCTGCGGCAAGTACACTCTTGACCTGATCATTGAAGGATAAGTTGCGCAATGCCCGAGCTGCTGCCTCCTGTGCCCAAGGTGAGCCCTCTCCCGCCATGCGAATAAGCACTGGAACAGCGGCAGCCTAGATCAAACAAACATTAAACTGAGAATGCATCGTAGGCAATTATCCTGCTTTGCCTTCTTAGAAAGCTAGTTTAAACCACCACTATGTTTCCCGGCCATGGGTGCGTGCAAGCCACAAATTCCGGGGTCAGCAGCCAGAGCGAAATACTAGCGGCGTCAGCCAAAACGAGGCCTGCAACGGTTCCTTTTTGGGGGGGCACAGGGTGTTCTGAGGCCCGGGCAAAAGTGGGTCGGAAGTACTGGTGGTTTAAGCTAGTTTAGCATGAATAAGCCTCTAACTTGGTATCGGTGACTCTTTGGTGCTTATGCTGTCTACCAATAAGAGCATGTGCCATGACATTTGATCTTCTATCAGTTTCTCACCCACAAACATTGGTTTTTCATAACAGCCTGACCCATAACCCCACCCCACCCTCTTGTCAGTGGTATGAAAGAGGAATGACCATCAAAGGCGAGACATGTATGGAAGGAAAGGTGGGTTTCAATCCATCTGTACGTCAAAACTTATTTCAGGTTGATTCCAAGCCTCAACAGACATCCACACTCCACAGCCGCATAGGACAATGTGAGAGGACCAACCACAGAGGGGTTATGTCAAGGCACCAGCATGGCAGTAAAGCATAAAGGTTTAACATGGGTGAAGTCCGGCCCGCCACACGGAACATACGTTTAATGTGGGTGCAAATAGGTTTAATATGGGTTTGATGTTGGATTTTCTGCCATTAGACAGGGACGCATGCTGTTTGTTGTTCGAGTACATGTTTGTTGAGGACTTCCCGAAAGGAAAATCAGTGAGTTGCACAACAGGGACATTGGACAGCAGCACGGTGCATTCCTTTACGTATTCTATCCATTGATGAATGTGGCCTGACCATCAACCTTATGATTATTGTCATGCCAATTTTGAATTTGTCATGTGTGCTGAATCTGATTGAAATGTTTGTATACAAGACAGAAGAACCATACAATGCAACAACAGATACTTGCCTGAAAAGGACTGCTACAGAACTCAAATTGTGAGAAAATGCAAGACTTGCTGAAACTCAGAAGAATGGGAGAGAGATAAAGAATGGAATAGAATGAAATGCGAGGAATTGACCCCTCAGCAGTGCTGGGAAAGGCCTTGCCCGCCCTAAGTGAAGGCGGGCCTGCCAATGTGTGCCAAGGCCTGGGTACAGGCCAGTGTGATCACCCTAAAGGGGCCGTATATGTGCGGGGGAATGAGCCCTCCCCGGGGCCCTTAACAGACATGCACATGTTCTGGGCAGAGGCCCTCAGCAAGCCCTGTGCGCGCCCTTAGTGAAGGCGGGCCTGAATATTCACAAGAGGCCAAGATTTGACATTTTTTCATATGTGGGTATCAGACAGTTGCAGCACGCCAGTTGGTTACAGAGAAATGTGAGCCTCTGTAGGCTCTTTCCGGAAGTTCCACCCTCGTCGGGCAGTTGAGCCAGGGCCCTGTACAGTTAAGGCCCTGGGTGTGTGCTTTCAGAGGCCGACACATCATACAACAGCCACGGGCCAATGAGATTGCAGCATTGTCGGCACATAGTGGGTGTGAGCCAATGAGATCACAGCGAACATGTGGAGGCCCGTGGACTGCCTGGATGTGCCCAACTGTAAAGGGCCCAGGCCCGTAACTGCAACTGGGCCTGGGCGCAAGCATTGAGCCCCGACTGGAAGCTACTGGATGCTCGCCCAACCAGGCCCAGAGGCGGCAGAGGCTGAGCTCACTTCTCATATAGGAAAGTGAGCATCGCTGGGGACGACATTCTGGCCTATGCAGACAATGCGGCCATGCTGCTGCGTTGCAGCTTCGTGATCTGCACGAAGCTGCTGGCTGGGTCGCGCACACGGGTGACGGGTTGTGAGGTGCACTGCTGGGCAGTGGGCGCACGGCAGCCATAGCCGGGCTGCTGGGCGCAGGTCTGGATGGCGATGGTGGTCTTTGGGTGTTGAGAATGCACACTGTGGGAAGTCAGGGGCGATGAGGGGAGAGAGAGATACATACCTGGTGCATGAGGGAGGTCAGCTATGGTGTTGACATCATGTACCTTGGTCTTCAAAGTCAAAGTGAGCCTGTTGCGTGAACACTGGTGTAGTAGGATAGGCGAGTAGTGTAGGCTGGACGCTGGGCGCCAGACAGAGTAGGAGTGACATTGGATACGGTGTTGGTGTGGCCTGAGGGCTTGGACATTGGCTCACGAGTTCATTGTATTGCTCTTATCTGGATGGTATCTCGGTGCATTTGCGCTCTCTGCTTGTACATGACTACTTCGACATCTGTGTGATTTCGCAACTTGGTTTTCTGTACATCGCTCTTGCACATATTCCTTGCAATTTGGTATCGGAGCTGGTTCGGATATCGCCATTCTGGTGCTGGCGTTTTGGTTACATGGTGTGTGGACGAAGCTTCTATGCAGTGAGGATACCTTGGCGCTGGCTTGATTAGCCCCACCTGGGTAGAGGGGTGAGGGGCTGGAAGGCTGTGGCGACAGCTGGATAGCTGTGGCGACAACGGATGCTTGTGGGATGATGAGAGCATGTTGACATGGCATTTTGGCTGAGGTGGCACGACATTGTATTGTTTGTGGTACCGAGGCTATGACCGGTCATCAAAATGCACGCCAGCCCAATTGGTGAGAAATCTGTGGTTGGGGGCAGCTATCTCCAGGTACATTGTTCCCTTACCTTATCTTCCCGCTCAATCTCTTTTGTGTCAAGGAGCCGTGAGCACTCTACCTTGAGAGACAACATTCTTCCCGGTGGCGCATCTGGCAGGAGAGGGCGGTGCCTCTTAAGGGCCCTGGTCGAAGCACGGGTCACAGTCACCCTACCAACCCATGGGAGTAGTACACTCAGACCATGCTGCTTTGCCCATTGAAGGCTCTTTGCTGCGCTAATAGAGGAAACGTGGACTGACCAGCCCTTTGCAGATGCTTACCATACCGTCTATAAATATTTCTGGCGTGAATCCGATCTGTCCACTGGCTGTGATCGTCGTGCTGTCTGTAATGTTAAATAATTCCTGAGGACTTTGGGGTCTGTCCTTAAACTGCCTCTTGATCGGCCAGATAGGTCAGACGTAAGGCTCATTGCACGAGAGAATAAATAAAGGGCAGTGCTGCTCATAAGCGAGTTCCTGGGAGAGAAGGTTAACCGACCCCCCATTTTTCAGGTCAATTTATAAGAAAACCATAAGGTCATTTCAAGCAAACTCCACACCAATGTATAGAGTGCACTTCTTACTAACATATTTAAAAAAAAAAAAAAAAAAAAAAAAAAAAAAAAAAAAAAAAAAAAAAAAAAAAAAAAAAAAAAAACATGGACACAGGGATGGGCCACTAATGCACACCTTCGACACCACTGCTTGATGATGCTCATCGGTACATTGGATACAGGGGGAGGAAGGTTCCAGTTGGTGCTCCATTTACACATGCATCTGCGCAAATGGTTTATTTTATTTTGATTAGTTGAGGTGTGACAAACTGCTAACACCTAACAGACAACTCTATACTAGAACTGAAGTAGTCTACCATTGCCAGTTTTGTTTACTAATCGGAGTAGAGATTAGATCATTTGCATAAGTCTGTATATTTTCGGTTGACACCGCCTGAGCTGCGTTCTAGGATACGGACCGAATAATTATTTCATTATATTTATTTTACAAATCGGTCAGACCCTATGCTGTGGTAGGTTCGTATGAGGATGCTAGTGCAAACAGTGGTCTGCTATAGCTGATGTGGGAGTGTAGCAGTGAGTAGGAGGGAGTTGACTAAACGAGGCTGACATGGCGTAGAGCCTTTAGAAAGTTTGTGGTATAAAAGGTCAGATGACCCCACTAAGAGCAGTGTGTAGTGTTGGGTCTGAAAGCCAGCAGCAGCAGTAGAGCAAAAGTTAGTAACGGTTGCCGCAGCAGCAGCGGCATAAGGATCCAATAGACAAGCCATGTAGGCCGATGCACTATCTGCCCAAGTAGGTGTTAGTCAGACAACAGTCTCAAGTCAAATGGCGAGCTCGCAGTTCGGCAAGCTGCTCCAGCTCACAGTAGCCGACCTGGGCATTCAGGAGGTAGCAGACATTCCTGCTCTGTTAGAAGCCGAGGTCAGAGACGCATAGGACAATAATAGGATTAGATACAGAGCCATACTGGTTAGTAGAGAAAACAATGACAAAGTTAGGTTAGAGGGATCGGAAGGAAATCGACTCATTAACGCAGAGCAGGATTTGTGGGCATGCGAGCGCATGCAAGAGTCCATGTCCATGCGAGGAAGCCTGGACACTTCTCTCCTTTCCAGCGAGGTTCGGATATAGAGGGTGGACAATAGAAGCGGACAAAATTGTACATCCTTAACTGGGCCGCTTAGTGTGCGGACTGAAAGGCAACCTTTACTTGTCTCATCGTCGACGATAAGAATGTCGCCGATGCCAGGTCTTTCTCTAGCTAGGCTTGGTACTAGTCTGTCAGGCGGACAATTAGTTGTAGACATGCAGGTTCAATATGCTTCTTTTCTTCCTTTCAAACGGTTGTTTCTACATAACGGCTGCACATACCCCAACCTGCACAGCAAGCTGCAGTGCAGATTGATGGTAGGACCCAATGGTTTCCAAGGACTGCGTTATCACATGCCAACTCGTTCTACAAGGTTAGGAAGGACAAGGTCCCCGACATTAGGTTGGGAAAGGTGTTGACATACGCTAGGAATAGTGACATGAGTTTGGAGAGAGAAGGCTATGTCACAGAGGTAGGATGGTTAGATGGGTTAGTGCAGCAGCGCTGTAATGATCGGGAGTCGGATTCCTAGGCTGAGGCTCTAAGCCCGGATAACCGGTTTCTGCAGATGCAGTACAAGGCCCATATCTCTTTGACTAATTTTTAGGTCGAAGAGGCCACTGCAGATGTGCACATCTTCTCTTCCTTTGGGAAGCTAGCCTTGGATGTAAAGGTTAGGCTTGTTAACGCGGGTCAGGGTCAAGGTGATAGGAGGAAGAAGAAGTTAACCCAGGATGAGGAGAAGAAAGGGGA